AAATATGCACTTGTGAACTGAAGTGTGGGTAGTTTTTGATGCCATCTGGGAGGTGATCTGGTTGGCAGAGAGACATGCTGCGCTGCTTGTGTGTTCTTGGATGGGAGGTTTAGATCAAGCACTTATTTGGACAAGTAATTAATAAAAAGGCTTAAAACCTGTTAGGGCTTAGTGGTAAGATGATTATATGACGATTGCATTTGCCAACAAAGCAGCTAAATTTAGTTTTCAAGAAATCAAATATGCTGAAATAGAAAGTTCTGTGTTGGTTTCACATATTCTCCAGATCGTTGTCTGTTATTAATGTAGYTTGAAGTATTTTGTTCATGTATTCAGTGATTTGACAGTGTTGAGTTTGTTCTTTTGTCCATTTCTTTTTCTGACAATTGCCATGTGTTTCCTCAGCTCCCTGTTCATCTAAAATAATCAGTCAAATTCAACATTTGACATTTAACATATTGTGCCAATATTTTGGAAGSTTTGGCCAATTCCGTGGTGTTTGCATAGTTTAGCATTTTATGTAAGTGTTTTTCTCTCTCATGCATAAATACTGTTTATACCAGCTACACAAGCTACACATCATAAAATATATGTTCATTTACCAGCTAACCGCAGGAAGAGAGACAAGAATTATCTCCCACCCCTGTAATGTCTCTGAGTAACATTTAGCAGTGAGCACAGAGCTGACATGAACAGAACTGGTGAACTAGACATGACTTTGAAACAGATTTGAGATGTGATATCTCATAAGATGGACTTATAGGATGTAAAATACATCAGTTTCTTTTTTGAAAGACAAATCAGTAATTCATGCTAACACTTTATCAATTTCGGAGTTTTCACCATCACTGTAGAGATCTTACCAGAAAAAATATTTATACTCATTTTTTTATTCTTTATTACATCCTCAGACGTCAGCGCTCAGAACACGTGTTCACAAACTCCTAATCTGTACTTTACRGGAGAATCTGAACCAAAGAAGCGAATTTAATCGTGTGCCTTAAATGTCAGCTCCATGAATCTGCCAACAGCCGAGTTTCTGTAAACACATTTATCCTTGTTCAGTTTTCATTCGTTATGTTCTGTTGACCTCAGTCCAATTTGTCTTAGTTAATAGRCATGTTTGATGGAATATGAGATGAAGGCAGAGCTTTATGTCGTGATTAAAAAAAAACAGCAAACTGCCCTCCGAGGCATGTTGCTCACACTGTGTGCTGCTGTAAGTTGTCTTTGCTGAACACAAAACTGAAGCAAAACTACATCAGCCTTTTGATGCTCCTTTTACAGACAATCCTTTGTCTTTAAACAAAAAAACTTTAAAAACTTTAAACAAAACAGTATTTAATAAAAACTAACATACTGAATTCAGTTGTACTAAAACAAAATGTCATTAGATCAACATTGATTGTTTAATTAGAGAAAAGTGACATTTTAATGTTTAAATGAAATTATAACTGGATTTTATTTGGTCTAAAATGAATTTGTTCAACAATTTATGGTCAATATGTGCTAAATAAATAACAGGAAAAAACTGGTAGCTAAACTATACAAGTATAATAACTATACTATGTAAAAAGCTACAACAACACTAATAAAATGCCATGATTATTGCTTTGAGCAGTTTTATTTTTAATTATTATTTTTATTTTCTTTGTTCTAAATATCTCCCTATAACAGCCTGCAGCAATTGTCCCACCTTGTTGCCTTTGGTTCTAAAAACAAAAGAAAAGAACGAAGAATCAGAAGGAGGAGAGAAAAAACACGGAGCAGTGAAAAAACAACGAGCTGAAAGTCATGAAAGAGCATGAATAAAAAATGCACGATCATTCTGTGTTTCAAAGAAACCTCCAGTTCAACTCGACTCACTTCCTCCTCGCTGCCTGCAAGGTGACTTCCAACCAGAATAAATAAAACTGCTCTTTCTCGAGCTGAAACCGCACCAAACCAAAGGCATGCTAAAAGATAATGTGCTAGTTTTCTGCTTCTTGTCAAAGCACATTTAGACCAGGCTATTTTTGAAACAAAAACCCCAGGCCACAGACCTGTTTCTGTGTTTAATTCTGACTCTGCCGCGCTTTTCACCTCACTGATGTATGTAAATTATGACTTGAGTCAAATTTCGCACATCGCAGCGAATAAATAGGAGCATGGATCATTTTTCTTAACCCTACAGTGCTTCAGTTGATTACACATGTCCTTGAACGCCAATTGAACACAATTTGTGCAGGTGGACGTCACTGATGAGGGTTTGCCCCTCAGAGACACTCATACTTAAGTGCAATATCATCAATAAATACTGCCAATATAGAAATCACATCTGCCATACTGTTGCCGTAAAACCTTAAACATGACTTATAATTATTAAATTGATGATCAACGGACCAAAGCAAGATACACTCCCCCACCTCTGCCCCCCTGTTTGGACCTGTTTCTGAGATTTATCCTCATCAGAGGAGCAAGGGGATCTATTGCAGCCTGCTGAAGGTCCAGTGTTGCAACACCGCTGCCTATAGATCATGAACTTGGGTGACAACTCACTCGGAGTGGCTGGTCTCAGTGCTGAACTGGACTGTGTAATCCATCATGCTACCTTTGCTCCAAATACGCACTCTTCATCAAGGCTAGGGCGAGGATGAAGGCTGTGAAAGACAGTGCCCTCCCCTTTCCAGGTCCCCCTCAGCTCCTCTGAGGCTCATTTAACCACAGCTGATGAGTCAATGGTTAGCCTGCTCTTTAATAAATGTCATGTGTTATTAGACTTTTGTTAAAGCTCCTCTGTCTTTCACGCTCATATTTCTTACTGCAGAGATGAGCTCAAGTATTAATCAGCAGAAGCAAGAGTTGTGAGGATGAAAAACAACTGCTAAGAGAAGGTTTGAAATCTGACAGCTTCCCCTCTGATGCTATTTATTGTCATTTTTTCTGGTCTGTGAAGAAGTTCACACAAAATATGCAGGACACTTGTTATTTTGTTTTATTAAACAATTTAAATACTTCCAAAGACTTGATTAAGCRACAAGCTAAATGTTTCATCAATATCTCAACAAGCTGTATGTGTCWGGAGGAGATCCTGGAGAGCAGAGGTCATGTGGGGTTTCTGCTGTGAACAGGAAAAATTTCTATTTGATTATTTGGGATCAGGGACAATAAACAAGGCGATTTATTAGAAGTGATGTTTTTTGTCTTTCTTTGTGGAGAGGGGGGTACATAGATTAAATTTAATGCTAACAATAAAAAAGCCGGTCAGGGAATTGAACTCAGTTCTTCTGCATGACAGAGTTATGTACCCCCACACTAACGAGGGGCTTCCTGGAAACTATTAATTCTCTTTAGCTCCACTGCTTCAGTCCTCAGGCAGCCTTCTGCACATCTCTCTGTTGTGCAGATGTACGGTGGACTAAACTACCCGTAGACTGAGAAGGGTGTCCTAATTTTTGAAAAGCACAATTGCTTCAATCTGCACAAACAAATGGTGGATGTACAGTATTTTCTGTTTTTCATATTCCTTAAATGTATAGATTCCTCAGATGATTTGGGTGGGAAGCCATCTCCACATTTCCAAAGGTGGAGTGGGCCTGGACCCCCTTAAGCTACTCTTTAAACTGCAGTAAAAACTAATAGTGTTTGYTCTCTTCTTGTTATTGTACAAGGGAGCATTGTCTTAAGTATGCAATACTCTATCTGATAATAAAACTTTTGCTTGCTTGCATATTAGTGCTGATTTTTTTTTATCTGTCTCCAGGTGCTGTGGTCAAGTTTATAGAGTAAATATTTACTCAATGGGTAGGCATTGATCAATATCAGAGCTCATCAGTTTTATTTTGTCTTATGTGCAGTTTTCTGAAGACTTTTTTTGTAAGTTTAGAAATGACTGTGTTGGGACTGAACAAACAAGGACAGATAGTCRTGTTGTGCTATTTTGACAAATGAGATTTAACTGTTTCAAGTAGTTTGGGGAAAAAACCTGATGCACTAACTTTGAATGGCTCTTTCTGATCCAAATTATTCCAAAACCTCTAGATAAATTTTAGATTTCCACGTGATGCTATTAATAGATTTAATAAAAACAAAAATCCTGTGGACACAGTTGAATACACCTGCAATCAATCAAAACAATCACATGAAACAATGCATGCGGCAGGTATGAATTAATAAAACACCTAGCATTTATGCTAAATAGCTTGGGAATTTTGCTTAAAGACTTTTTGCTGAATTTGTTTGTTTGTGTAAAGAGYTTATTGTGAGTGAAAGCAGAAAACACTGTTGTGCTTTGATTAAAAGCCTCTTCATTAAGTAATAAATGTGTCTGAGGGGAAAATGGCTCTGAAGTACATGAAGAAGAGGAAATGGAGGGATTTTCACTGGATTCATGAGGACACATGCAGAGAGTCTCTGGTTTGCATGACTTTCTGACAGTATATGTGCCACCCCCTCCCTGTGGTGTGATCTGAGAGCCTGTGCATGCCTCTGCATCTGCTTGCCTACTCATACAGTAAATGGGGTGGAAATGTGATGAACAGGAGACTGCCATGACCACCTAAGTTTCAGCTCCGCTAATCTAATCAGTAGACTGCATGCTTGCCTCACAATCTCACAACTTCTTGTTTATTTTCTTATTTGATTGCAGCTGCTTCTGTTTTGGTGTATGCTGAACATTTAAGAAAATACCAGTTCTGTACAAACTTTTCTTGTCTTTTTATTTTAACTCTTTTTAATTTCAACAAAAAAAGAATAGGATTATCTTTTATTTGAGTCACTTTGTGAACTTCGTGTTTTGGATTTTCTTTATTTCATTTTTTCTTTCTTTCTGTTCTATTTTGTTGTTGTTGTTCTGCTCTCTCTTAGGTTTTCTTACAGAATTCACATGTAAAGTCATTGATGTTTCGAGGATTGATTGTGTTTTTATTTGCTGTGATATTTGTGTGTTTTTAGTTGTTTTCTTTTGTTTCTTTGTGGTGAGCTTTCTAACCCCAGTTCATTCTGTTGTGGCACCGCTGCAGTCCAGGATGATGCTGCCCCAGGTACCCAGGAGTACATTATGTTACGGCAGGACTCCATCCACTCTGCGGATATAAGAAGTAAAGGGTCCCCTTTTCGTGCTAAGTGTCACGAAATCTTCTGCTGCCCGCTGAAGCAAGTTGTCCTCAAAGAAAGCGCAGAACCTGAAGGTTTGTTCGCACCCCCTTCTTGTTTTGATTTGCTGCTGCTCCTCGTCTGACCCTGCCTGAGCTTGTCTTGTCTTCCCCATCCCATATTCTGTCTGAGCTGACAGTTCCTCAACCCTCTAAACTCAGTTCTTCATTCCTGTCAAGGGCGGAGCTAGACCTATTGGCAGTGGTGGCCAAGGTGTGTTTTGGCGTGCACATCCAAATAAAGACAATTCAAGATGGCCACCTCACCTAATTTCAAATGGCTTTATTTCAGCTGTATTAGGAAATATTTAGCTGAGTGATCGTAACTAAGAATAATCTAGGAAACATGATGAATGCTAGTCTCAATTTATTTTTCACTAATTTTTAGACGTACAAAGCTGAAGATAAATGTAGAAGTAGCCCCAAACAATCTTTACAAAATTCTAAATACTAAGATGGCCACCACAGCTAACTTTAAAAGGTTATAATTTAGCCATTTAAAGACTTATTATTGATGAAATTTGTTGAGAAATAGCTAAAAATGATCTCATGTCGATTACCAATGCTAAACTAAGCTAACAACTGACGTCAATGGCAGTTTCACGTAAGACTTTAATCCAGGCTTTTTTAATATACACAGCATATATATATATAGTGGTTTGCAAAAGTATTCATACCCCTTGAACTTTTCCATATTTTGTCACATTACAACCACAAACATAAATATATTTCACTGGAATTTAATGTGAAAGACCAACACTTTCACATTAAATTCCAGTGAAATATATTTATGT